TCTCATCTTTCCACTTTCTCTTCTCACTCCCAAATCTTAAGAGATGCATTCTGTTTGTGCCACTCATGAGTTCTCTTCCAGTGTTCAACTAATGAAGCCAACCATTCAGAAGTGATCAGATTTTTAAAACCAAAAGCTCTTTTTGACTTAGCCGCATTTATTGTCCGCACACTTTACCAGATCGGTCAACAAGCTGCCTTAGCCAGCTAGAACCCTTGAAACCTTCCATTTAGATGTATGCTGTGTCTTCGAAACACGCATACAAGACCCTACTTCAATCATCTCCCTTCGTTATCCAGATCCAGCCTCATCCTCATGCTTCACTCTCTGTCAAGGTCGAGCGTTCACCTCTCAACTGGATCCCGGCTAACAGCCTACTTCCTTCACTCTAAACAGGAGACTAGGTCACATAAGCCCCTTTAAGCTCCCTGGCTGGGGACCCCAAGATCATGGTCACCGATGGCTAGTGACACTGATCGATATGGCTGGGTGCCCCAAACAATGGCGCTCATGTATCTACTCAATATTCTTGCAACCTCAGTTTATATAAATTTGCTATCTTCCGTTTGAATTTACTCTCAATATTCTAATCTTCATTCTTCTCTTTCATTCAAATGGGCAACCAAAACCGGGGTATGAAAGTGCATGGTTGCATGATTGTAAGAATCAAACTGAACTGATTTTCACCATCTAAATGCAGAGCGGATGTGTACGGTTGCGAAGCGCTTGTGCTCCCATTCTCCCTGTTGTGGTGACCAGGCGGGGATAACCGATAACTTTGAGTTTCTCAATACCCTTATTCTTCCGGTCAGGAATAACACAAGTCATTGAACTAGAACAGGCTGATTGTTATTGTCTAATCGATTCATAAAACCCCAAAAAGAGAGAGTCCGGATTGGTAAAACACTGGATCGATCACCAATCACCAAGGTGACAGAAGCTAATCAGACACTTGGTGCCGATGAAGGTAAGCTAGCATCAGTCACACAACTTGTTTTCGCCATGTTTGAAATGTCACTGTACTCAGCAATTTGATAGCCACTGGTGGTACTGTTGGGGGCAACAAATCAACACGAATGGCGGAAGTCAGAGTAGTAGTCAACGCCATGACATGCGAGTCTCCTTCGTGGTAAAAGAGTACGATAGCAAAGCAATCTAGCATCCAGTTAACTTTCGATGTCAGTGTTCGAACTTGAGGTGTTGGGAATTAGTGCACATTTGTGGCACCGACGTACATCGTTTTACCACCAGCACAGCCGAATTGGGCACTTTTTTTACACACAGTTTTTGTGTGATGAACAGCAGACAGGTTAAATCCAGTAGTCGCGAACATCTACTGTTCAGTCATGGTAACTGGCAGTCTAAGGTCCTGGACTGTCAGTGGCGATTCACATAAGGTCCCAACTAGGTGGTGTGGTGTGGTATTGACCCGGACGATAGCGAGACTACCTACCACCAAAGTTGGGCGTCAGTGGTCGATGGTGTAAACCTCCAACCGTAGGGTTCAAAACACAAACCAGTGACAGCTGCGTCCAAGTAACTAGCACAAACAGATCGGCATGTATCTACCTTCCAAATGATTCTTGCTAGATTACTGGCGCGTGTCACCATTGGAAAATAAAGCACTCAGAAACGAACCCATTTCTATTTTTCCCACGACCCGCCGTCGGTAAAATTATACACTTCTATTAGCAGGGGTGTTTATCAGCTGTATTTAGCTCTGATCAAACAATCGTCGGCTTTTTGTCACAGTCCAGATAGACTATTATACTATGATTATGTGCATTCGAAGCTGTTTGCTCGTTGAGAATTTGAATTGTAAAAACCAATCGGGACCGGGACTAAATGTTCGTACAAGAGAGAATTGATCGTTTTTCGAGATTACGCTCTTAGAGGAGGAGGAGGAGGAAGAGGAGCATTCTGTTTCACTGTTTGATTTGTGTCCAAACTGATAGGCGGATCCTTCTAATGCTTATGTGAATACCTTCGATACCTTTGACGCGTCCAGTTGTAACTTATTGTTCACACGGCGTGCAACATCGTTATTGTTTCCAGGTGGAATACGTATCCTATTCCCATCCGTTTCATAAGAGAGACTTTTTTACAGTTTTATTTCTTTCAGTAATATCATGTTGAGAAAACTCGGCCCCAATTAATCATCGGCATCAAAACTATTCGCGGTTCCGGTTAGATATCGTATTTCTTTCCTGTGATTCCCAATCGTGTTTCTACTTGTAGAACATCGTGGCTATTACGCACACACACACACACACACGTATACACATAAGAAAATCGTTACTACGATCGATTTGAAGCACTCTTCAAATAACTGTTTGTGAAATACAGAACAGTGACTCATTGATTTTAAAGTACTGCGGTTTGGGTATGTGTGTGTTGTTGCATGTGTTGTGAGTACCACATTGAGATTTTCTAGCCTATGACCTGTGTACGCGGTTGTTAACCTGCTCTGGGATCGATCTCCCAATCGAATCAACGTTTCTTTTCGACACATTAGCAGTACTTACCTGTGTGCATATATATATATATATATATATATATATATATATATATGCGCGCTCAAGCACTTCTGTTGTAAGTCGACGATGATTTGCTTCACCCAGTGATCCGAAATGCACACATACGTACAGTCCCCCCAAAGCTCCCTGCTTCCCTGCCCCCTTTGTAACGGTGAAACACAAACAACCATGTTTTTCAAGCATACTGCAATAATCAATCTTGCTATTCCCATTTCAAATCGATGGTTGCCTCACCCATGTCGCACAGTAATAACCATTTATACAACCAACGTGATTCATCTGTCGAGCCTCTTCTTCCTACCCGTGGGGATCATAAAGCAAATTTTCACTTGTAATGATCGGGTATTCAACCAGCACATTGTAGAAAATGAGATCGGTCTATTCTATCTCATCGAATCGGATTATCCCTTTGCATACCAACTCTACCACTATTCATCCTTGACTCTATGTGAAAAGGGCTGTGCTATTGATCTGGGAATCCTAGGAGTTGCTGGTTTAAAACGAGTCGGTATTTTTCTCTCAACTCATGGCGCCGGGAACAAATGCGCGCAGACTGAGATTCATACTGCTAAGGTATAGTTGATACAGTGTTCGTAAGACACGCCCAAAACCGCGAGGTTTTATTCGAACCTGGAATTAGATTTGTCTTGGGGGTATTGTTTTGGTGCAAATGTAACCCATGTACAAGCTGTTGAAAGTTTATTTTGTTTCAGTCTATTCAACTGACTACGTGGCCAAGTAGCTCCTGGGTTTTCTGGGCCTGATACGTTTGTGAGTGACTGGATGTGCTAGTGGTCCTTTTGCTTGAAAATCTGATGAGTTCATCTTGTCGTACCACGTCTGTGTGCAATGATACTGATCAACTAATCAGAAAACCCTCGTTTTGGTTCGGGGAATAAACCAGTCCGTTTATCCTGATTTCTCATAAAATGATTAATTAGTGCTTTTAATTGTTCAAACGGTTCCACGGAGCACACAATGAGATCACAAATTGATAAAGCTTGTGCATAGAAGGTTATAAAATGCCATCAACAAAACATTCTACGCGGCTAAGCTTCAAACTCGATTCACATCTAGCCCGTTGGTGTACATACTGTTGAAGGATAGAGTGCCCGATTCTGTTGCCTCTCCCTGTATTCAATCTTACTTAATCCTGTGGAGCCTCAAGACCAGGCACCTCTCCGAGCGCATCCGTGAGTATCACTCCGATGCGTGGTTGAGAAGTGGAGTAATTGAGACAATCAGAAGTGTGGTCGTGTCGCACCTTGTCCACACTGTTCACATTGTAAATGTGACCGAAGCTTTCCAACCCCGGGACGATCTAGACACGTGCGGTTTCGCATTTTAGTCACGGCCTAGGCAGCTTGCATCCGCCTTCACAAGCCGCCCCCGCTATGTGCTCAGAAACAATTTGTGCAAGCACTCAGACTCCCATAGCCGGATTGCCGACACGGTAGTTTTTATGACACATCAGAACAAATGATAAATGAGAACAAATTACGATATAAACTATTAAATACTTTAGTTATTTTCTCTTGTAAATCCTTCTCTGTTACTAGCCATATTTATTGTGTTGTAATGGCATGATTAGTGCTTTGTTGAACTCATAAACTGTACTACACATGGTAAGATTGAATAACTGAGAATAGTTAAACAGCTTTTCATGATATCACTCCTCCAGAATCTGAGAGAATTGAGAAAAATGCGAAAATTTCAAAAGAATGCTCAAAATCCACCATCAAATAAAAGTGTCAAAAACTGAATTCGATCGTAAACACGAGTGTAATGTGCTAACATTGATACCGGATAAATGGAATACAGTATCCACATAATATTTGTACAACGGCCACAGCGTTCAGTTCAGTTTTGAGTTCTTACAACCATTAACCATGCACTTTCGTGCGCCGGTTTTGGTTGCTGTCTTTTGGTTTCCCATGTGGATAAAACAGCAGTGTGGTGATTAGAATGTTCAGAGCAGATTAAAACAGAAGATAGTTCATTTACATAGACAGAAATTACAAGAATAGATGCATGAGCGCCACTGTTTGCGACACCCAGCCATATCACTCAGTGTTTCAGAGGAACTAAGCCGAAACGTCAACCCAACATTACATCGTTTTACCTTACTCCGTCTTGGTCTGGTTCTACGAGCAACTGAACTGTCTGCTTGATTATCATCATTCCCGAGATAAAAAAAATTGTACAGAGACCACAACAAATCTAGGTTACTGTAGTTTTTTTTGCCCTGATAAGATGTACCGAAGTCTGCTTTAGCATGCAATCGTGCAATCTAGTTGTGCTCTCTCCCTCTTCGTCTATCACCATACCCCCGTGGATTTCGGGATTTCTCCAATCTCCTCCTTTCTTTTGTTTCTCTCTCCTCCAGGTGGTTCTTTGTTGACCTATCTGCGCAAGTCCAAAAATGCATTGTCCTTGAGCACACTTCTCCTGATGGCTTCCGATGCGGCAAGTGGTATGGCCTATTTGGAATCTAAAAATTGTTTGCATCGGTGAGTTTCCGGGGGCACACACACACACACGTGCATATTTCGATCGGGCGATTTTGTTGTCGTTTGTGTTCTTTCGTTTCGCACATTCTTCTCATTTGTCATCTGCGTTTTGTTCAGATTATCTGGCATGAGACCAATGGTTTCTCGATTCACCCGCCTAATCCGTTTGCCGACAGTGACGAAAATCGCCAATTGCATTCAACCCTGGTTTTTATCCGGTTCAAGGTATCACTTTAGTCTCTCTCTCTGTCTCTGGCTTTGTGAACGGAGTTTGATTGGGGTCTCTCAGTCACAAAACAATTTACTATATTGACGGTTGTTCGTGCTGACAATTGCGCATGACTTTTGTTACGATCAAGTCAATGATGAACGTCCCCTCCCCCACCCTCCCACCCCGNCAACCATTCTTAGCGATCTAGCTGCTCGAAACTGTCTGGTTTCCGAAACGGGTCGGTTGAAAATTGCTGACTTTGGCATGTCTCGCGAGGAGAACATCTACGAGGTTAGTGTGCGTGTGTGTGTACTCTCTATTGGACATCTCTTTTTTCGCACAATCCCACTTCCGTTACGCTCGTCTGTTTCATTGTTCAAATCATCTCTGTTCAGCTTTTTCTGCGTTTTGTTGTGCATTTCATGTGTTGTTGTTGTTGTTGTTGTTGTTGTTGTCACGTGGAATGGTCCGGACTGGTTTTTTCTCTCCCTCTGTCACACACACACGACCATCGCATTGCCACGTTGGGTTCAATTGAATGTGTTCGTGTGAATTTTGAATTGTCGCGTTCGNNNNCTGATCAAGTTTCATTTTCTGACTAACTGATTGATTGAATAAACGACTAAGTCTGATCCGCCGTTATGTGTTTGTGTGTGTCATTCGCCTTGACCGAGAACCTACCTGGTCTGTTTTCAACACGGTTCGCTTGCTTGATAGTCACTCGGTTTGTATGCCTCGCTAACCATTTTTCCTTTCCGCTCAATGGTGAAATGCATTTGGTCTAGTGGTTCGTTGAAATCACAGCGTAGTATTGATGATGATGTTGATGATCGTGGTCAAACGGTCTAGACTGGTTTCACTGTCTTGTTCCCGACTCTAATATCCGAGGTTTCAAATCCTGGTGTTTCCAACCGGTTTTGGTGGTCCGGAACTTAGCTGTCGTTCGGTTCAACATATTTTATCCTGTTTGAGCTACGACAAGTCTCAGGTCGTAGTTCCTGCGTTACCGACGGTTCTCCAGACTGCGGGGATCAACCTCCCACTAAGCGTTTCTTTGAGGTGTGTGATAAAAGACATAAAATTTAATAACAGGTATATAATGATAAAACCGCGGTATAATCATCTTTATAAAAAGAAAAAAAATCCATCATTTGCTGTTTGGCGCGATACTGCTAGGTCTTTCAGGCCAAGGCAGGTGACTTTTCTGAAGGAATCCACAACCGGAGCCTTCGGTTACACAAAGCCTGACCCCCAAATGCAGCGAGCGAGGCGGTGTTTGTAAACTACAATCCATTCGGACCGGTGTCCAGTTCATCGAATCGTACGTCCTTTGGATAGGTTCTAACGTCCAAGGTACCCAGTACACCTCGATACCCAGTCGAACGGGTGACCACTACCCCACAACCGTGCGCTTCTTCTTGGTTTGTTTGGAATCAAGTTTTTATCCAACTCTCCTGAACAAACTGCCAGTGGTTCACTAATCCAGTTGTAGCCCTGAGTATTGACTTTTCGTCATTTCATTTTGTTTGGAGACCATCTCCATCACAAGAAGGCAGTGAGTAGGGTTTCCGCAATAGAGTCTGGTTGAAATGCTTGGTCTTGTGAGGAAACGTTTCGCGAGGTGGATAGGGAGGGTGACGTGTCGCAACCCGAGGCTTTCGGAGACACTAGTCGTACCCATAATCACTGTGTTGTGTATCTTCGTATGCTGTGCAATCCTATAGAACCACCTGTTGCATATCAGCCCCATTGACCTCGAGCATTGTTTTGCTTTGCGTCACTCGAATCGGCTCTTTCTTGTTACGATTGGTGCCCAAAAACTATCGGTCATGTTCATCTAGGTCTTTCTCTGGTATCGGACAGTGATAATCGAGAGATCCACGAAAGAAACAACATTGGGAGTGCCGACACAGGACTAAATACTGTTGAATTAACAAAGGTTTGTGTTTATTTAAACATGACACCAATATTCTGCGTCCTTACGAAATTGCATGCAACGATAATCGACTGTCTGAACGGCAAAGCAGTTTACCATTTCCCATCTGGTGAACTTATATATGTACGTATCCGTGGGATATTCTCACTTTACTGCTACTGGCTCTTTCAAAAGGATAATCCCAGTTCTATGAATACAAGTAACATGCTCATGTAAATTCGTTACAGGTTGGTACTCCGTTTTTCACCCTAGCACATCTGTAGGTTTCGCACAACCAACTCTAAGACAAAACAGCGTGCTGGTGCATATCTGTCAGTGGCTTAGCAAGAACTCATTAGTCATGCTGTATAGGTAACTGCAGCCCGGACGTTCATGCATCTATGTTAGTTGAACAGACTTCCTTCATAGCTGTTTTGTCAGCTAAGAGTTCTTGTCCATCCATCTAGGAATAGCTGTCTTTACCAAGGTGTTTTGACCTCGATTACCATCAACATGGTTCAGCCTGCCTATCGGGTGGTATGCATTAAACGGATCCTGTTACCGCTTTAAAAAAACGAGACTAGATCTTATTCCAATTTTTTTATCCTTCAAAACCCAGAAATACTTGNGTATATTCGCGAGATCAAGTTCGAACAGTAATGGGTTGTAAACCGACTGCCGTAATCGACTGTGTTAATCGAAAGATTATACGCTTGGTAGTTGGTAAAATTCAGTCATGTCACTTTGTGGCAAATTATTCGTGTCTAAAATATCTATTTTGAGGGTTTGCGCACAAAACATATATATATATATATCCCTAATTAACCGTGGTGTGCGCACCGCTTCTCTTTTCTTTTGAACCATTTCTACAGCTGAGCGATCGACGCGGTCAAATCCCCATCAAATGGACAGCACCCGAGGCCCTCGCCACTGGACGGTACACCATCAAGTGTGATGTTTGGTCCTACGGTGTGTTGTTATGGGAAATATTCAGTTACGGGGATGTGCCCTATCGATTCTGGTCCAATCCCCAAACACGTGAAATGGTTGAATCAGGTAAGCTGTGCATTCCGATTTACCTGTCTTCGGTTTTGTTCCTTTCCAATGCCCTAGAAACGCCGTGATTTTTCAATTGC